TTATATGCACTAGATGGGTAAGGCATGGATCCTCAGGATCTGCAGCATGTTTTTGAAACTAGCAGTTAATTGGTAGGATTCTCACCCTGACTAACTATGTATGCTGATACCTGTGAAGTAAGCAGCTGCATTGAAGATAGCAATGTGTAATAGTAGGGTCATGCTTGGATTGCCTGCCATTCCACTCTTCTAAATATGTACTGCTTGTCATGACATACAAATTACTGTCATACTGTCTCTCAAGTAAATGTTTGTTTTTAAAAAAAGGAAATAAATGAAAACAAGAGACAGGAAAAAATGTCACAGGACAGTCCTGCTACAATGCTGTGGATGGTTATATTTTTTAATTTCTGTGTAAAGTTATTTAATTGTTTATTGATATTTTTTCAAAAAAAATTTTTTTAATGTTTGTCTTCATATTCTGCAGGGGCTTAAAGTTTAACATATCAATACTTGATGGAAAATACCTGTTCCATGTTATGCCTAAGATGTTTGATATTCAGACAGATAGTGAAGTTAAACCCCACTGCATATGTTGTAGGGTAATAATAAGCTTCTCTTCTGGAGGGTTAACAACCTAAGTTTACAGACCAAAAATCAGAGAAAAAGAAGGGTTGCAAGGACAGCCAACATTTTGGCCCTACCCTTTCAAGGTCAGTGAGGACTCAGGACATAGGAGAAGCTATACTGTAACATTACGTAACTCAGTTGTGTCCCAAATTTTCTGATCAAGGAGATTATGGGGCCAAGGAGGAAAGTGATCAATGATGTAGAGTGTGCCTAAGGAGAGTCATATGGAGAGAAAACATTCTCTCAGGCTTTCACAGTGAGAAAATTGGTCAAGCAATGGCCATGACTCATCCACAAGGCACTGACACTGACAAAGGACCTACGAACTGTGGTATAGGGTTTCATATTAAATCCTGAGGGGATTTGACTGACCTTGTTGGATATGAAAGTTACATTTCTTGTTATATAGGTCTTGCTCTAACTTGGTCTTAACCATCTAGCAGAAAGTATGAAAATAAAGTATGAAAAGTAAAGCCACATTAATATGCTGAGCTGTACAAAGCTCAAGTCAACAGCTTTGGACATTGCCAGTCTTATGGAAAACCTACTACTGTTATGGACTACTATTAAGAGATTCTGCTGAATTCAAGCATATACAATATTCAAATGACAATGGAATGCTCTTCTCTGACAAAACTAACCAAAAAATGGGATAGAAATGAAAGACTCTTTTGTATCTGCATACTCAAAATAGTTAGGATAGATATACAACTCTACTCTCTTAATTCAATGAATAGAGAGGCTTGTTAAAATAGTGTTTGAGACAGGATAT